ATTTCAAAAAAACCCAAGAACATATTAATTTAGAACATATTAATTCGGAACATATTATACAGTGCAATTTGGACAGCCTAATCCCAAAATATATAGTATATATATAAATAAATAACTATAAAAGTATAAATCGTAAATATTAAATATATTTTTTCACAGTATATATAATATATAATAATATAATTAAGTCAAAAATATTCAATATTGGACTCATTTCAAAGATATTAACGAGACGATTATAATTGTGTAACTTGTTAAAATAAAAATGTATTTTTAAACATGTTTTATTTGATATACGATTAGGGGTGAGCAACGGAACCGGGTACCCGGCTACGGAACCGGAACCGCCGGTTCCGAAATCGAAACCGATATGAGTGGTTCTGGTTCCGGTTCCTAAAATACGGAACCGATTGAGAATGGTTCTGGTTCCGGTTCTCAATTTTTCGGAACCGTTACCCGTCGGGTACCCGGTATTTTTCAATAAAAAAATAATTATTATTTTTTAATACCAAATTTATATTAGGTTTACATCTTGAAAGCACGTCGTCATCTTCATTCTTCATCTAAATTCTTCATATAAAATGATTCGCATTTTTTCAAATTGTGTATTCACTTGGATTCATAGTATGTAATCGTTAAACTTTGAATATTTACCATTATGATATGTAATCGTTAAACTTTGAACATTTCCTATTAGTCTATTATGGTTTGTAATCGTTAAACAATATTTGTAACCATTATTCTATATAATTTGTATTCTTGCTTATTTAATTAGTGTTTTGGCAATGTTTTATTTTTATTTCTAAATAACAATATTTTAATATTTTAGGAAGCGGGTACCCGGAACCAGAACCGGTTCCCGGCGGTTCCGGTTCCAAAAATCTAAGAACCGCTCTAACTGGTTCCGGTTCCGGTTCCAATATCTCAAGAACCGCCGGTTCCGGTTCCGGTTCCTGTCAAAAAGGGCGAGTACCCGCCTATGCTCACCCCTATATACGATTGTGTATGTTAATTTGATAAATGTTTAAAATTAAATAACGTAAAGTAAATTAATTAACTAATTATAGGGGTATAAAATGTAAATTTAAAATTATAATTTTAAAAAAATTGGTTGTGAGAGGGTGAGTGTATATGTGAGGGGGTGAGTGTATATGAGGAGAGGAAGGGGTGAAAAAGTAAAAAAGTGACTAAAGGGTATCTTGGTCATTTAGTATTTTAAGACTTTAAGACTTTTGCTAAATTTGCTTAATAAGATAGTATATATATATATATATATATATATATATATATATATATATATA